TGTTTCCACAAAATTAGTGAATTTCTCCAAAGTGTGAGTTTAAAAAGGCAGACAACTGTGGTTCCCACATCAAGACGTGCTGACTGACAGGGAGTAGAAGCTCTCCCCAGCAGGCAGCCTGTCCAGCTGCTCCTCACTAGGCTATACCATCAGGGTGGTCACTGGTTCCTTTGGACCTGACAACAGCCCCTGCCAAGCCCTGCCACTTCCCCACCATCAGGCTCTGCATGCACCTGCAGGCTGGGCCCTGTGGAGAGTAATCCTGAGCCATGGCCGGCTGCGTAGGACTCCCCAGGGCCTGTGCCTGGCTCTCCGGCAGGGACCAAGTCCTGGAATTTGCCCCTTCTCCTGCTCTCAGGACATACGGCCACAGTTCTGTCTTGCTCCCCCCTGGCCTCCCCTCTCCAGACCTCCGCACACCCATCCCAGGCCTGGACCAATTCCGCACATCCCAGGATCCCAGCCCTTCCTCAGGGAAGTCTCCGCAGACGCCGCCGTCCTGTTCTGGATCACAGCTAGTAGTGTCTTTCCCACGTGGTTTCCCCCAGAACCTGTCAATCTACACCAGGCACATGTGGTGTATTCACCCACATCTCTCATAGACCGTGAGCTCACGAGCACAGGATGTCTCCCTGCAATGTGCAAAGCTGCGTGGAGTTCACTCAATGTGGAGGCAGCAAGCAGCGGGCAAGCCACCAAACCATGGTCCCCCCGAGCCGGCACCCCCCATGAAAACAGCACTCGGCCCCCAAGTGGCTCTCCTGCTTCTCCTGATTTCTCAGGCTCAGTCCCAGACTCCTTGCTCTTAGCCACCTCTCAAATGCTGGTTTCCCGGGATTTCATCTTCTGCCCTGCTCCCTTGTTGGCCAACTCAAGGCTGCCCACGTCACTTTCATACCTATGGCCCCTGTCTTCCTGAGTGTTAACCCCATCCATCTTATATGCTGCCTACCAGCAGCCCTACCTGAGTATCTCGCATCTCAAAAGAAAAACACCCTATGGCCACATCACGAACCCCATGGCATGTGTGCTTGTCCAGGCCCTGCTCACAGACCTCCTGCCTACACTACTGCAAGAAGCTCTGCATGGCCTCACACTCTGGTTCTGCTCGCTTTCCATCTAACCTGCCCAATGCTTCCAAAGTAACCCTTCTTACTAAATTAAAATTACAAATGACTCCATGAATAAATTCTCTTATATGAAGAACTAATATGTGACATGTAAATAAAGTCCCATTTCATCAGATCCCTTCTCTCTTCTTTCTTTCTTTCTTTCTTTTTGTATAGAGGTTTTTGCTATAGGGCACGTCTGCTCACTGGAGAGACAGAAAGAAACAGAGAGACAGAAAACGAGAAATCACCCCCTAGAAGGGATGGCCACACCGCAATCCCTTCTCCATTCTACCCTTGGGATTTTGGGCATACATGCACATGCCCTGGCATGAATTTTAAGCTGCTGGTCCAGGACTCCAATACTAGTTGACTACATGGGAGTTCAGCAATGGAATCATTACACCATCTGCTGACCCCATCAAATCCCTTCTTGATTTCATTCCAAACGGAGCTACTGTTATCAGCCAAGATATGTCCTCCCCACCCCTCTCTCTGTGCTTAAATAAGGTTAAACACACCAACAAGTTCACAAATCATTTTCTCTAAACATAAATTCCTTCCCTTTTATAAGAGAGTGAGCACTTAAGCAAAGAAGAGAGGAGACAGAAAGAATGAGGAATTTTTGACAGGGTGTCAAGAGTTGCAATTCTCTATTCAGCCTCCCAGCTAATGAAGATTATAGGTAGGTGCTACTATGCCCAGCCTGTTGAGGGTGGTCCTGGCCCTGGTCCTGAGCTTCCCATGTGGCCCCAGCTGTGCTGTGGGCCCGGACTGCTCACACCACTACAGCTAGGCCAGGGCGTACCTTATCGTTGATCCATAACTTGCTTTCCTATTCACCTGTACTGGAGCCCTGGCCACGTCAGCATGTTTCTTCTAACTGTGGTGATGTGTGCCAGAGAAAGGACTTACCATCACTTCCTTTTTTTCTGCTGAAGGACAACTGCTTCAGACTCAGACCCACTTTTCCAAGATATCAAGTACCATATAATTCCCTGTTTAAATTTTCAATGACTGCTCACATCCATAGGACAATTCGTATCATTCAGATTTGTACTGAAAGCACTCTATGGCGTGGCTCATACACAGCTTTCTGACTCATTCCCTTCCTAGCCTTATTTTCCCACATACATGTGCTGAGCTTTGGCCAACATGGATTATTCGCAATTCCTAGATATACTGTTTGCCGAATATATATGTGAAAATATAGTCCTCTAAGGAAACAACCAGAAGAGATCCTGAGAGCCCTGCACCAGAAAGTGCAGATGACCAGAGCGTGATGGGTGTTCATGTCTACCCCCAGCTTCTCCTGCACTCCCCTTCGTGAAGACCGAGAGCCCCAAGGAAGTTCCCCACTAACACTCGGGCTGCATGACGTACTGTTAACCCGATTGTCGTCTGTGTTGATTCTGGGGCACCTTGGGCCCATCCACTCACCTGGACAGGAGCCTCCAGAACTTTCTTTTTCCACCTTCCAGGGGTCTTCTCCTTGCTGCAGGAGGGAGATCACTTTTGGTTTGGTAAATGGGAGCCCTGCTCATAGACAAAAGAAATATTTTTAAATGTCGTTTTGACAAAAACAACATCAAATCCCAGATCTGAGTGCGAACCACATAGGATGGTACGAAGTGCTTCTGTGGGATGCTCTGTCTATGCCCCACACTGAGAGGATGTGTTCAGGACAAGATGGGTGACTGACAGGACACAACTGTGGTGTTAGTAAATGTCTGTTAGGGAAATTTGATGAACATGCAGCCTTGATAACTAATAGGACATTCTAAGTTTACTGTGAAAAGGAACATCAGGATGTACAGACTGAATTAAAATTTGTAAGCAGGTTTGTAAGGGAAGAATTTTGTACCAGGCAGCTGTTTAAAACAAGAAAATGCTAACTCCTTTTCAAAGATGGCAGAGGTCAACAAACTGTGAGTCAGGGGCCAAATCCAGGCCAACCCTGTTTACGTTGGCCCCAGTGCAAATGGCCCTTGTCCTTTGTGCAAAAAAAGAAAAAGAGAAATGTTACACAGACCATACATGACCTGTAATATTTACTACCTGGCCCTTTAAAGAGAAATTTGCTGACCTCTGAAAAAGACAAGCGGGAAGAGCAAGGGATAAGTCCTGAGGTTGAATGAAGCCCTCTGCTGAGAGATGAGCGAAAAACCACTGAACGACTGTGGGAATAATGCCTGAGCCATGTAGAAACTTCTAATGTGCAACACAGCAGAAGGGCATGATTGTCACCACCTTCTCCTCCATTTCCACGCAGAGGGCAATTCCACACTTATCAGGGTATTTTTTAATATCTATTTTTAAATATATAGTTTGTATAATCCTGAGGCAAAAGTATTTTGTGGCCAACAGCTTTAATTCAGTGAGGAAGGTCCTGAGACACCCCAACTTCTGAATTCTGTAGGTACAGGGGCACGTCCTTATCTTCTCCTTGCTGCAGGAGGGAGATCACTTTCGGTTTGGTAAATGGGAGTCCTAGCGAGACCAGGTTGCTATAGTTCTCTAGCATCACGTCCCGGTACAAGTTTCTCTGAGACGGATGCAGCTTTCTCCACTCATCCCGAGTAAAGAGCACAGCTATGTCTTCAAATGTCACTGACACCTGTAAAGAGAAGTCATTCCAACTCACCAAGGACCAGCCTCACACAGACTGAAGCAGACAGTGGGGGTTGGGGTGGGTGGAAAGCAGTGGACAGGCTACGCATGAAATCTTCTGATGCTATGTACGAGTCTCGAGGTCCCAGGTCACTCTTCTAATGAACAATGACATATATACACTGAGTAGCAGCCAGTGTGAACAGGCCTTATGTTAACCACAAGAGACAGGCAGCAGCATTAAGGCCATCAGTAGGAACAGTCTGCCTGACAGTGACTTGATAAACAAATTAAAAAGCTTGAACCAGATGGTGGCACAGGAACAATGCTACTGATCCACATGGAAGGGGTCCTGATTTGGCATCCCAAGATATCCTTGAGCATGCTGGCTTTGTGCGTGCACCTGTGACTTGGGCTGGCTGAGACTGGGGCAGATTGTGCCTTGGAAACCCTGCTAAGGATGCCTATCTCTGTCTTTCTTCCTTTCACAAAAGAAGTGAAAAAAAACCCAAGACTTTAAAGTATGTACATGAAAGTATGCACAGTCTTTTAACTCACCACTCACTGTATTTACATTGTCCTAGTCGGTTTAGTGCTGCTGTAACAGAGTATCTGAGACAAAGTAGTTTATAAAGAAAAGAGGTTTATTTGGTTCACAATTCTGATGGCTGGAACACCCAAGTTTGGCAGGCCTCATCTCCAAGGCCTACGTGCTGCACTGGTATATAGTGGAGAAGTAGAAGGGGCAGTGTATGTGTATAGAGGCTCGCACAAGCAGGCAGGCTATAACAACCCACTCGCTCTGGAACTAACCTGTTACCACAAGAGTGAGAACGCCCTCCCTCCTGGGAGGCATTAATCTATTCATGAGGGTGGTGTCCCATGATCCAAACACCAGAAAGGACCCAGGCCCCACCTCCTAAGTCTCATCCCTTTTAATACCATCACACTGTGAACCAAGCTTCTAGCACATGACCCTTTGGGGGCCAAACCATATACAAACCACAGCAGTACTGGAACAAACAGTACACAAAGATCCACTCACAAGGCCCCAGTGGATCCATTTTTAAGCACCCTGGAAAACTGCCTCACAATGCCTACCTTGTAGGGCCCCAAAATAAATTATATTGGGACCAGCAGATAGCATAGCAGTTACATTGCTGGATTCCCACATGGCCGACCATGATTCAAGTCCCAGACCTGGCAGTTTGAAACTCACACTGGGCTAGGAATGTGTGTGTGTGTGAGCCCAAGATCCTGGGAGGAGAATGAAGGAGAAGGACTGTGGCATGGCCATCCCCCCAGGGCATGCTTTCTTACTTTCCCTCTTACTGTCTCTGTCTCTCTCATTCTCTCTCCAGCAAGTGCACAAACCCTAAGTAAAAAACCTCTTAAAAGAAAGAAAAAGAATAAGAAATGACATAATCAAGGCAATGGAGCTAGATAGTGATGACAGGTGCACAACCATATGGATATACTTAAAAGGTCCCTGAATTATACATTCAAAAAGAGTTCAAATGGCAAACTATATACTATGCATATAAAAAAGGATAAAACTGTAAAATACATAAATACATATACACACACAAACATAAATTTAAAAAAAATATGCAGAGAAAATGATTCTGAGGAATGCATCTCAAAAAGCTGGCAGTGAGGCGGCGGCAGGAGGTGGGCCGGGCGCCAAGGCTGCGTCCGGCCTGGGGACGTCGCGGACCCTTCCGGGATCTGCGTGTCCCCCCGGGCCCCCGCCAGGCCGGCGG